TTCCCGAGCTCACGGGCACTGAGCCGAGAACTCCGCGAGGGGATCCTTACTGAAAGACAGGCGCGCACTTTACAAAGGACAGTCTGTCATTAGGACTTTGCCTGGCTCTTGGAGTGGCATGCCAATCGAACTCACGATGGCGAAACTCAGGGTATGGGACACATGATCGCACGTGGGCAGGGAGTCATGGAACTTGCAGGGAATACACAAAATGCCTGCGAAAGATGCCGAGATTGGAGAGTATGTCCAGAAGCCATTTGGAACCCGGCCATTGTGGGTGTAGCCGTTCGACTTCCTAGCTCATCCAGAGCTTTGCCAGATGGATCTCAGCGGCCTCCAGCGGGTGGTGTGCGAGGCGTGCGAATGGGAGGGATTTGCCTCAAAATAGGGCGATCCCCTCTTTGGTTTTGTTGGGAGACCCAAAGGCAACTACGTACCCGGGCCGTCCTCCAGTGTTCAGATTGGGAGTTGCCTCCAACCAAAAATGGTTGGTGGACACAAGTCCAGTGAATGACGCCCACCAAAGGGTCCTAATTGAAATTCATGTTGAACCGTAACATTGACCAAACACCCAAACTACTGCTATCTTTGGATTGTATTGAGGAGAGCTGCCGCTGAAATAAATAGGTCCCCTATCACGGAAAAGGCGAGTCCAGTGAGACGTAATTCAAAGCTGGCACAACACCACTTTTTGCACTCAGAGTTTAGCTTTCGAGTTAGCTCTGTGTATTAGCAGTGGTCAGAAGCACACACACACACATGGCAGAGTCCATGTTACCATGTTTCAACACCAAAGCCCCGCCAGAAACACATTGTGATTTGTGCGGTCGTTCTGGAGACCAGCCACTTTGAATGTGCCAACTTGAGCACGTAGGTGTCCCTTTAAAGCCAACCAGAAAGAGGTTCCGCGAGGAACGATGCCATGGGCCATCTCCTTTCGTCGCCCTGCAGGTGCGGAAGGCGCTTCGGGAGGCCATGCACGAGGATGGTATTTGGGGTGTCAATCGCTTGTTGGTTTCCTGGCCACAGGGCTTGTCCCATCCTTCTTGCGGCCCCTCCAAGGTAGACTTCTTCGTCAGTGAGCGATTCAAACACCCCCAGGCATGAGGTTGTTTCAACAGCGGTTGAAACATGCGCAAAGAGGTTTGCCCAACCCGTGCTGTTGCCAGTTCCTGATGACTCGGAGCTTTGCTGTTCTTTTAAACTTGAGGGGCTGAAGCGGGAACTTGACGTCAACGCTTTGCGATATGAGTGCAAGGCCAGGCTATGGATCCCTTGAAAGGGCCCATGCAACAAAGAAGGTTTACATGGTTCGGACGCTTTCTTGCAAAAATGCTCAAGCTGCAACAACCACGTAAACGCTTGCATGATTCTTTGAGCGCGGAGGGCGCAAAGCGTGATTCTCTCCAAATGGGTCAAAGCTTGACCGTCCCCGATCCGGAAAAAAACCAAGTGCAATGCGCTTGCCTGTGAAGCGACTTGCGCGTGTTTTTCTGCCGCATAACATTGGCCAAATTCAAGCAGTCGCCGCCTGGCAAACGAATTGAATGGCGAGGGGAATCTTCTGTTGCCCTGCATGGCCAATGCAATGCGATCCTGAAAAAACCGAGGACCGCTTCCCCCAGTCGCCCTCGCACGAAGGTTTGCGGACAACTATGCAATCAACTGTAGCCTTTTTTTTGGGCCTAGCGTCTTTTGGTTGTCTAGGGAAAAGCATGTTAGGGCGAAGAAATGCATGTTTTGTTCCATTTTTTGGGGAAGTGGCTGTTGGATGGATGTCATGGTCAAGCAATCTGCTGACTCAGAGATGCATGGCCCGTTTACTATGTTTTGCCCACGGCACGTATGTCAAAACGGAGGGGGACTGCTCCAGATGATTATGGAGTATCCCTTTGGTTTCCTTGTGGAGTCATTCAGCCTCTGTGAGCTTTCCCTATATGGCAAAGAACTTGAAATTGGCAAGACGAGCATCAGCCTTAGTTGAACTAAGCCACAATTAATACGTGACGGTGGGGTTGATTAGGCGAAGCTTAGGCTTAGGTTTAGGTTGTGCAACATGGAGGGCGCAAGTCTGGGATGCTGAAGTGTGATGAGAGAACTCTACAGTTGGGTTCCACAGTTGGGTTTCACATGTGGGGCGAAACCACCAGCGCGATGCAAAGATGCGCGTCACCAAAGAGCCATGTAGCCTTTTTAGAAAATTAGTTCGATTCCTTCGAACACTGATCCAGACATGGGTTACACTTGAGAGCTATTCTTGCTCTGGCTGTTTGTGCAAGCGTTCGAAGAATGAAATTGTGCGTATGTGTGTGTGTGTGGGGCGTTCAGATCTCTCCTAAAGCGTGCTTTGATCTTTGTCGAGGCTGCAAAAACTCCTGGCGTCGGGCATCCGCAAAACGTTTGCAAGTCTGACCCCAGCTGAAAATGGTAGTCCTGCGCATTTCCGGGCTAAAGAAGCGAGACCCCAGCCCAGCAATGAAAGGACCCTAAACGAATACTAAGAAATGCGTTACAGCTTGCACAGAATGACAATTATGAGTGTAGCATCCTAAAACCCATTTGTTAGAGCCCATTTCGAATCTCCCAAACATAAGCCCTTGAGCATCCTTCCCTTGAAACGTGTAGTTGATTTCTTTGGAGGTCTGGAACCCAGCCGTGTGAGGAGCTCCCTTGTTTCCTGGTTGGTCGGTTGCTTGGTCGGTCGGTCGGTCGGTCGGTCGGTTGGTTGGTTGGTTGGTATCGGCTTTGGGTTGTTTGGCTGCTTTATTTGCTGGCCACATTTTGTGCGCGGCTGATTTCCAGTCGGACTCCAGAAAACAATGTCCATCGCTTTTCGCCTTGCTCATCGTGAAGTCCACTCCCTTGTTGAGCGGTAGAATGTTGAGTGAAGCGGAATTCACTTCCGATTCCGGTTCTGACCGAAGTATGGCACTGCTTGCTAGCATGTGTAAGGCTCATATCTGTATCCCTGGTGCTGAGTTGCGGGTGGCTGCATGGACTTCCTTATACAAGGCCCAGGATTGTTCTTGTGCCTTGCTGCCACGTGGGTGTTATGACATTTTCTTTGGACTTGTTCGCTTGCTTCCTCGCTGCATTGTGCTTCTCGTTACATGCCGGGCTCATGCTTGAACTAAGCTTGGAGCAAAAGCTTGATTTGTAAGATTATTATGCATGTTGCACAAGGCATCAAGGTCGCTTGTGCTTCGCAGATTCGCTACTTGACGCACATGCATCAGCAGCTCCCCCTTTTTCCTCCCCTTGCTCCTTCTTACTCCTCCTGCCATTTCCCCTCGCCTATCTTGCGAGGAGTTGGAAACCCGGTTACGACGGGTTATGACAGAGGAGATGATCGGGCTGCGCCTCGACGTAGTGCAGAGGCGCTTGCCTTCCGCTAGCCGCTAAACGCTCTGGTGCCAGGGACAATACTTCGGCTTTGTCTACTCCATTAGAATTCTACCTGAGTGGTATCTCATACTGTGCTTTAACTTCTTGCGTATTGTTACTTCCAAAATCCATAGGTGTTAAGGACATGGTGATCTTAGTCCCAATTATTATTATTATTCTAATTTGCATTGTAGAGAATGTTAGTTACTGTTCGAATCCTTTTAGAAGAGCTATCATGGTGTGTGTACATTTGATCACGACGCAGTATATCTGTCGTTTCTTTTTTCCTCACACAAGTTGTTATGATTGTGAAATTGGTAGACTATTATAATATGTATTGACTTGAGGGATTGGGAACTCTACCCACTGATGAATAGCAGGATGGCAGGGTGCTCTCGCTGAAAGCAGCTGGTCTCCAGGTGAATTCATTGAGTTGGCAAGAACTGGCGGATGGAAGGGGATTGCTGGCATCTAGTAAAGCAGTTTGCTACTAGCTGTGTGCACTCCCAACGGAAGGGAGCATCCAACATCATGCTTGATGTGTTTGCTCGGAACCAACCACAAATGATGGCCCATGCCGCACCACCTCTAATTCATTGTCCAAGTCATTGCTCTATACTTCCAGGTCTTTTCAGTCGGCCCGCAACTCGAGTCCGAAACAGGAAGAACAGCAGTTTCTTTTTTGGGGTATGGTCAGGTCTGGCGCTTAGAGGTATTGGACTCCACATATACCTGACCACAGCGTCGACATTATAAGGGACCCCGACTTTTCATGGTTCGAATGGAGGAAAGATGAACCAACTCTTAGTGGATCAAGCCCAACTTTGGAACACATGTGCCAATTGCACATTTACCCTCCAGATCAGCGTGGACATCGCTTTTCTCAGGTTTCTAAGAAGAGATGTTGGAACCTTGACAAAACAAGTGTGGACCCCAAAGTCGGAGCGGCTGGAAGCCAACGCGCATAGAAGCTGATCCCACAACTAGCGCCAACAGTGATTGGGTATCCACGCGCCACCATGTCAGGAAACCGTATGGCTCATATTTGCGGACCCCTAAACTTTAAATGGGTTGTTTCCACTTGGTTTCCGCTTTAAACCGTCTTCAAAGAGGTCTACCATTTGGAGAATCCTGCATTTGGTGAGCCTCCGTATGGTGAACCTCACTCCAGGTCCTTTGCTTCGTATGCGCGGTTCGCCCGCAGGCAGCAGCAGGTGCAGCAGATGCAGCTGGCGGAACATCTCCGCGCCGTCCGAGACGCCAGAGGGTGTGATGAGAGGGGGAGTTTTGAGTAAAACCGTGAGCTGGTCATTTGATTTGCCTCACTGACTCCGACATATGTCTCTCACATATGTCTCTGGCTTATGTCAGACCTATGACTCATTTCTCTAGGACTGTCCTTGGAGGAGGGCAACCCTTTTGGATGGTAGTGTAGGGAATCCAAAAGGAAACCGACCAGTCGTCATCTCTTGTGGGACACTATCAGATAATTTGTGAACTCGGTGCTCCTTGCATCGCGAACCATGTCTTTGCAGGAATGGCTCAGGAATTGACTGTTTGTTTCCTCCCTGCCTCTCATACCCCGCGGGCTTTGGCTCAAGAATGTCCTCGATCAGATGGCAGCTGAGGGGGAGAGGACCGGCGTGAGCTGGTATCACTGAACTGCTCCCAATGTGTATTGCGATCAAACCCAGTAGAGTGTTGGCCAAGGAAACGCATCCCTGGGAACAATCAGAAGGAAGTATGGTTCTAAGCAGCCCATTTCCTGCGATCATTTCACAGTGCTCTTCTGGCCTGGCAGTGGACCTTAGGAGCATGTGTTGCTTGCTTGAGAGGATCTTCTTTGTCTCCAAAGCATCAAAGAGTGGGTCTGGCATGTATCAATTCCAACGCTCATGCATGCTAAATGCGTGGCCAGGACAGCTGGCGAGGGCAAGCTCGTGTCGAAAATCCTAGACGCTTGGACGACACATGGTGTGGAGATCAAGAGCAACATGCAATCCATTTTCAGGGATGCTGACGGGGTGTCCTTTCTGCATACTTTGGCATACTTTGTCAGGACACGCCACTTTGTTGGGACGGCACACTTCAGAACAGGGAGTGCCAGTACAACAATGTGCAATCTTCTTCTTGACGTGTCAATGCTGCCTTTTGGGGAACTTGCAGACTTGTTCCTGGCTGATATTGGGGTCTATGTTCGAAGTGGGGTTGGCTGCTACGTTCTGTATACTTATCACGAGCTGTTTTCATTCTGCAATAGGTGATTCCCAGGCTTTGGCTCAAGCAAAAAAGAGGTTTTGTGCGGCTTGGCACTCGGAATGGAGCTTGGGGACAAGCGGAATGGGGAGGAGTGAGGAACAGACGGAATGGAAGACGTCGTGTGAATGGCATGGAGGCCATGTTCTGCACGGAGATCTGGGAACGCGAGGGAGGTTTTTGGCGTGCTCAAGATGTCGTTGAACGGCGAGGCGTGCAGGCGGGGAAGTGGAACTTCCCAAGCCGGAGGCGAGGGCTGCTGGCGCTGCTGGCGCCGCGGCCACATACACCTCTCGTGGTAGGATGGCAGCAAGCGCTGACGAAGGCATTATCAGCAAGTTACATTTTGGGCCACGACGTGTGGTGCCCTTCATGCCCTCTTCATTTCCCCTGAATTTCCGCTGTTTCCCCTTCATTTCCCATGCGTGTCCCCATCCTTTGCCTTCAGTTCATTGGCCCTGCATTCCCTTAATTTCAATTTATTTGCGTTTATTTCCTCCTTGTTCCCTTCATTTTCCCTTCATTTTCGATTCAGTTCCACTTGATTTCACATTCATTTGTATTTGTTGCGCTTTCATGCTCTTCACTTCCCCTTCATTTCCCGTCTGTTTCCTCTTCATTTCCCCTTCGTGTCCCCGTGGTTTCCCGTTGATTTCCTCTTAATTTCCGATTCATTTCTCCTTCATTTCCCATTCGTTTCTTTTCATACTCGCGCTCCCCCAAAGGCTACTTCAGTGGAACGCCATCAACCTGCCGGGTGGCGAAGCCTCTATCCTCTTCTTGGTGTCTGAACAAGATGTGGCAATTGGCCAGCTGAGTCCGAAGCCGTTGCCTCTTTGAGGGTTTGCCAAGGTAGATGCCCTGGCCGGCGTGCCTCTGCCCGTGCCCTGGGAGGCGGGTGGAACCTGTACAGGTGTCAGAGAGAACTTGCGAGATGATTTGGGTTCTTCAAAACAACTTGAACAAAGGGGAGCCCTCCAAAAATCAAATTTGGAGGTTCTTGAAAATACTTCCATATTTTCAATTTTGGAATCCTGTTTTTGAGAGAGGCAGTTGCTGGGACCAATGCACGTCGCAGGCAGCAGAGGAGGATGGTAGGTCCTACTTCACCAATTCCGGCACCGGCGAGTCCACATGGGACCATCCGTGGCGCCGGCGAGCTCTTTTCTTCGATTCGATCATCATCGGAGAGTTCTCTCCAGTTGCGACGTGTGTCTTCGGTTTGCTTTGGTCACAGGGTGAGAATTGACACAGGGTTTGGGGTCCTGAGTCGCCATGACAAACGGACATTTTGAACCTCACCCCGCCCAACCCAGCCCTGTTCATGTTTTTATATATCACCCTTTTGGCCCAAGGTGAGTTTACTTTGGTAGGGCTTGGGGCAACCCAGGACTGGGTACTTTGTAAGTGGTTAGTAGTTAGTAGCCCTGGTTCAACCCATTTGGTGGACTTACACCATTGTAAATTATGACTAGCGTCACTAGCCGCTTCCCCTTCGTGTCCTGCCCCTTCAAGCATAGCATAGATGCCACACGTGGTGAAAAGGCAGGCTCAGGAACTCACGGTCTCTTTTCCAGGCCTCGCGGAGCCGGTACTCGCTCTCGCAATTTTACTGTGCAGATAGCATGAACCACAGTCCAAAACAAGCTTTTGACATTTGTTTGACACATTCAAACTGGCAAAACAAGCAGGGAATTGACAGCATTGTTTTGAAATTCCCTCATTCAAAGAGGGAACCCGGTCGCCAGGCTGTCCCCCCAGCTGGCGGAGCTCTCGTCGCTGGCGCTGCGATGCCTGGCGTTGAAGCCCAGGGAGCGGTGGCAGGCGACCAAAGCCACCGCGAGCGCTTTTGGGAGTCCAACATGTTTTTGCTTTTTTTTGTGGGAGGCCAATTTTTGGATGTGTCTCAAAAAAGGAATGGGACCCTTCCCCGATTTGGCTGTGAATCTATACATTTTAAGAGTCGGAGCCACCCTAAAAGTGGTTGGCGGACACATCGGGGTCGTTTTTTGGATTGGTCGCTTCACCTTTTCACCTTGGTACTGTTTAGTTACCCTTTCTGGCTATAGATCTTGAGAGTCTTGCACCAAAGGAGAATCGTGTAGCATCTCGGAACCCACTTGTTAGTGCCCCATTCAGGGACGCCCCGCACACTTCGTGTGGCTTCCGCTTGTAGAGATACATCCCATTGTGCAGCCACCTTCGAACAGCCAGGGCAATGACAGCGGAAACCGCAATGGTACCGGCAAGGTCAAGGAGTAACAACAGTGGCAACGGAAATGGCAAGGGCCATGCAAGAGCTTGCCATCCAGGCGCCTGTTTGTCTTAGCGCTTGTCCGACTGCTGTTAACAAGCAGGCAGGAACAGATAACATAAACAGGGTCACTCCGAGCTACAAACAATCGATTCAATCCCAAAGCTAGAAGTTGTCCATCCTGAATTTGCTTGTGGTAGGCGGCAAAGCTGCTGCGGCAGCGCTTTCAGGCGGGCTTTGGAAGTTGCTGCCGGCTTTGGAAGTTGCTGAGCTGTCCTTCGGGTACATAGTTTTCGAGTTGGGAGTGGCATGCTTTAGCCTATGGACCGAACGAATGTTTTTGCAGCAAGGGGATGGGTGGGTTGGGGGAATGCACCAATGAGCCCGTTCCATTTCCGGGTGTGGGTGCGGGCAGCAGGACTGACGGGCTGAAGCTGTGATCTCACTAGACCAGTATCGGCTTGTATTTTTGAGGAATCACCCCTATTTTGACACATGCCCAAAACACTAAGATTGCTTAGACGCAAACACAGCCTCTCAGCCTCTCAGCTTGCCGCGCTTCGTTAGGCAGAAGCAGAGAAAGAGTACCGGCGCTGGTACGCTGCCGAGGCTGGCCTCTGAGCTTTAGGCACTGGAGTGCTCTCCTTTCCGAGTGCTTGGGGCAGGTTTCAGGGTAGCTTTCAGGCCTTCCAGGCTATTGGAACCCGGGGCTTGAAGATTTGGTGTCACCAAGAGTTGAAGGTCTTTGTCTTGATATTGAGGTCGCTTTTTTTGCGGGAAGGATAGATATGGGAATTGAATCACCCCCGCCCCCCTCCTACTCGAGATAGGGGGTCATTGTTTGGTTTTCAAAATCTTTTGTGCATTGAAACGGGTCTTCTTAGCGAGAAGCTTGCCGGCAAGACTCTTGCCGTGAGGATGACTCGGGCAACTGCTACTTCTGCAACCGTGACACCTCCGAAACGATGTGGGAACACCCCGCGGCGGTGGTGCTGCCGCAGTTCTACCTCAGAATAAGGCGCTCGAGCTGTACTGTTGACTTCACGACCCTTGCAATTCGGAAGGGCTGTGTTGCTACCACAAATTAAGGACACACACACACAGACACATCCTAATTCAGTTTCTTTTTGGTTCAAATCACCTCGTCGGGGTAGTGGCCTGCAGACTGAGTGGGCCGGCACTCATTCTTGAGCAAAAGTTGCACCTGTGCTCTCGAGAGACGGAGCCACGCTCCTCCATTTGCTTTGCCGTCTTGTTGGCGACCGGCTGTGCGCACCATCGCACCATGGAAGAGCCAAGCGGCATGTGGTTTTGTCTCTACATGGGAACCCTTGGAAAGGGGTGGACATTGTGAGAGCAAAGTGATTTTCTTGTGGGGACGTTTAGAATTCCTTATTCCCCTCTGAACGTGAGGTGCGCTGAGCTGTTGCAGAACAACGAGTACCTGAAAGGCGGGGCCTTTTGCCGAATCCAAGGTGAACCAGGACAGGTGATTGTCGTCTTACCCCTTACGTCCCAGATTTTTCCATAGCCACTGCGAGACGAGCTGTTGGGTAAAACCCTTGAACTTGTCGCGGATGGATGACAAGCATAGGCAATTTTGGTACCTCAGATTCCTATGCAAGAAGTTCAGCGAGTCATACCCAGTGCAGCCGTACCCAGTGCAGTCACCCATACGTTTCCTCTGAAACAACTGGAACCTAAACAAACCAGCTCCGGCCAAAGGCTTATATGTTGTTTAAGGTGCCAGTTTTCTTGCAACATGCCCTCAACAAAAGGCACACCTGACCCGGTTCCGCGTGAAGCCGGTGGGAGGCTCCGAGAGCGGCCTGAAGGCGGCAGAACCCAGCACCTTGGCAAGCTTCAGCGTGACTGGACGGGTGGCTGTTGGGGAGGGGATCAGTCTTTTTGTGCTTGCTTGGTTGCTTGTTTCTTTCTGTGCTTGTTTGTGTTGCATTAGTTTTGTGTTGTTTGTTTGTATGTTTTTTTTTGTTTCTCTTGGTTTTGTTTTGTTTTTGTTGTGTTTGGCTTTGCTTAGTTTGCTTTTTGTGTGTTTTCCCCTTTTTGTTTGTCTTTGTTTGTCTTTGTTTTGTTTGTTTTGGTTTG